TATATATATATATGTATATAAATCTAGAAATCGTAAAAAATTAATTTGTAAACGCTTAAACTTGGTAATTCAAATTTCCAGAAAATATAAATGCCGCACATTTATTTAAAAGAAAACAGTTGTAGACACTCCGTTATTGTCACGTATATCTTACAGCACCATGCAATCTGAAATTAACCCCAATAATGTAACTACTTATAAACAGGCAACTCTTGAAATTACAAAAAAAAAAATTCCATTGTATTTTATATCCTAAAGTTTTACTGTAAATTCTAATTGGTCATTCCTGATGCATAGGCCTCTATCAGGCGTACGTACGAATGCCCTACATTCATCGCCTTGTCATCACTATACTTTGATACGCGAGCACGGGTTAAATATTATTTTTACTGTTCTCTGTCTCTGTAAGCAAGATTAATGAAACTAAATACTGGGACTACATTTCTGCTTATTGTTGCCCTTAACATGAATAGTTTCTCCGGGTAGGTTACTTAACTCTCGGACCTGGGACTGGCTTATTCCTAATTATATCAGGTGCGGTGACTGTGTTTCGTAAATAGATAAAAAGAACCTAATGACTAAAAAGACGTCAAACTACATGTATTCCCGCTGTTTTAGAATTTCCTTTTTCTGTCATCTTTAAATGGGTGGACATGTAATTTTTTAAAATTTATTACTTTAAAGAGATATATTTCTGATTTTGACTTCCCTTCCGTAACTTAGAATTGAATTTAAGAGCGAAGGTAAACTGTATAAATCCCATTCCGCCTAAATACCTAGAAACATAGAGCTTACAGAGATTACAGCTGGTTATAAAGTAAGCGTTTATATTTACGTAATATTTTAATAGTTGTGCTTTTTAAAGATTTAGAAGTGTTAACTCACCTTATCATAGAGGAAAATGTTTGATTATAGTGTTTTTACTTTATTGTTGTAAGTTTTTGAATTGTGCTTTTGGAGGGGGGGGGGAGTCGTAAATCGAATATGCAAACTTACCGGACCATTGAGGAAAATGTTTGAGAATATTATTACATTACCATTTCGCTTGTGAAAGTAGCAAAACATAGAATATTCGTCATAGCGAATCTTACATTTTTCTTTCATTATAGTCCTGATATTTGAATATTGACAAAATTAAATGTAGATTTACATTTTTAGACAGAAAGGCGACTGTATACCCCCCCCCCGC